GTACGGACCGCGTGTTTCAGGTATTTACTGCGGACCAGTCCCTCAGCGCGATAATGCTGACATCATCAGTGCGACGAACGTTACGTTTGGAGGCGTCGCGACGTACCACTGCCACACGAACCACGTGTTTGAGGACGGGACGATCCGACGCAAGGCGCGGTGCACGGAGCACGGCTTGTGGGAAAACCTGGGCAACTGCTACGGTAAGACTCTCGCAATGTGTCCTCTTATGAACATGCCTCTAGTCTCGCACAATAAGTATGTGCTTTATTCAGAGCATTCTTCGCTCTCACCTCTGTTCTATAAAAACGTCCAGAAAACTGTCTCAGTTTTTCTCATAAACTTGAGATCAAGGTGACAAAATTCGTTGTTGACATCATTCTGTCAGGCAGAAAAAATCCTGTTAAGCCTTTTTAGTACATGGTTTAGTAAAACTGCTTTGTATTTTTGACGGTTCTGCGATGTGAGACAATCGTTGTATGTGTTCTAGACTATAATAACTGCAACAATGCTCCCGTGATCCACGATGGAAGAGCAATCGCGTTGCACGGCAACGGTACGGAGGCTAGCTCCATCGTGAGATACGAGTGCAACCCCAGCTTCAACCTGGTGGGCGTTCCCGTTCTACGATGTCTCCCCAACGGACGGTGGTCCTCCCCTCCTCCACAATGTCAAGGTAAACGGCGTGTAGCTTAATTACAATCAAGGTGGCCGGAACCTGACACAGAAACATATCTGTTACTAAAATAGAAAATGGTGGAACCTTCAGACGCCGCCACCATGTAATTGTGTGGTTGGCGAAATGCATAACAAGAATGCGGACGAAGTTGCTTGAGTGGCCGCTTAGACAGTTTATTACCACGATCTTCTCTATAGAAAGAAAGCAACGTACACGTGTCAACAACAGAACATAATTGTATAACCAAAACAGGTAACCTAAAAGATTAATACACAACTTGCTCTAAACTAGAAGTCGGAACGACGACACCCGCCAGTCTTTTATCGGTGTCATCCATCTTCCGTTTTTTGACTCTCTCTCCTGCCACAGGGGGGCGCTGCATCAGCGAGCCGCACGTCGTGAACGGGAGACTGTCGCAGCGTGCGCCGTACTTCATCCGTGAGGAGGTTGAGGTCGTTTGCAGCCCGGGATACAAGCGCGTCGGACCGCCAGTCACATCCTGCCAGGAGAACCAGCAGTTCACGCAGATACCCGAATGCGTCGGTGAGTCCGGTCGATAGGTTTATGCCGTTTCGAAAATCTATATTCGTCGCAACAATCATTAATTTGTGATTGATGTAACATTGTCACTATCATCGGGAGTGAATGAAAACACATTGTTTTTTGTTTATTCAATCTTGGTATCATTTTTGTCTTTGTTCGGTAGAAATCCATGTCGGATAAAGTGTGCGCAGTCTGAAATTTTGTTTTCAGTCATTATGCTTATCAAGTGTTGTTATATGACGTCATGCAGGGACGTGATGCAAAACTCGAGAACTTGTTTATGAATATACATACTCTAATAAGTTTATAGGTTGTTAATATAAAAGGCGGCAAGGTTTGTGGCTATTTTCTCCGCTTTTTCATCTTTATCGTTTATCATAATTTGCATCAATTTGTCAAAAATTTCGCGTAGAACAAACCCTGATATACAAATTAGGATAACGCTTGAAGGATATGGAAAATATTACACCGATACACACCCGTAATAGCGTCAGCTTCAGGCTGTAGATATATGGGTTATATCCTTATATTATTCTTATATCCTCATATCCCCTGCTCTCGTATTGTTCCTATTGTCTGTTGGATATGGCAGCTTGACAAAGTTTGTCGTTCGGTTGTCCCTGATCTTATCGCATCCTACTCTGTTTCTATTCCTTATCCTATCGCTATATTCACGCTATACAGATAAGCAGCATTATTAAGCAGGTCGGTTATAATCAGGGCGTATAATTCGATGCATTGATTAAAAATCTAAACGGCATTGTTATAGTGTTTCCTATGAACGAATCGATCGAATAACTTGATAAAACCCACGAAAGTTGTGTAAAGGTGTACGTGCAAAACACCATCCACGGGTTTATCAATGTCCGTCTCTCAATATATTTTCACAAGGCTATCATTGGCTTCGGTGCACTCATTATTTACAATTAAAAAATAAGGTACCTTGGTCCGCCTGCTAACCATGCAGACAACAGATTCTGTGTGAGATGGTTGTATTGTTGTTATTTTGTATTATATTGTTGTATAGTTGTTATTTTGTGTTACATGGTTGTTTTGTTGTTATTGTGTATTATATTGTTGTATAGTTGTTATTTTGTGTTACATGGTTGTTTTGTTGTTATTGTGTATTATATTGTTGTATAGTTGTTATTTTGTGTTACATGGTTGATTTGTTGCTATTTTGTATTATATGGTTGTATAGTTGTTATTTTGTGTTACATGGTTGATTTGTTGCTATTGTGTATTATATTG